AATGAGCGTGTGTGAGGGAGGGAAGGAGCGAGCGGGCGAGCAAGCAGCCCGCGCCGACCGCTCGCGGCACCAGCAAGGGCCCCCCACCCGCCGCCGCCACCCGCAGCCCTGCACCGAGGCCGGGCCGAGCCGAGCTGGGTCGGGCCCGGGCCATGCTGCTCACCGTGTACTGTGTGCGGAGGGACCTCTCCGAGGTGACCTTTTCCCTTCAGGTCGACGCCGACTTTGAGCTGCACAACTTCCGCGCGCTGTGCGAGCTGGAGTCCGGCATCCCCGCAGCCGAGAGCCAGGTACGCCGGGCTGGGAGCGGGGCCTCCCTCCGGAGCTGGCCCTCCCGCCTCGGGGCCTCACGCTCTCCCTTTGCTTCTGGTGAAGAATTGGGGGTGGAGGGAGCAGGATGGCCATTCCCAGCTCGCCCCCACTTCCGGGAGGGAGCTGGGATCGGTAGCTGCCCCCACACACTCCGAGCTTGGGGTGGTGTAAGAGGGGAGGGAGCGGAGAACCTGACCGCAGACGCACCCACTGCAGCCTGAGGGGCGCGGGGACTGACCGCCCCACCTTCTGGCTCTTTGGCCCCTTCTCCCTTAACATACCCAGTCTGGGATGTCTTTGTGGACCTAAGAAGAAGCCCTAGGTTTGCAAGAGTTCATACATCCTGCTTCCCCAACCAGAAATACCAGTTTCAATCACTGGAGGATGTTGATCTGCTTTTTTGGAGAGGGTTCCTGTTTAAGTAACATAATTTACCTTTAAATGTACAGATTTGCACTCTTAAGCGAAGGGAAAAGTTTGGAACTGGCACTACCTTGTTTTGAGGCCTTTGGAAATACTCTTTTCCCTTTCCCTTACCACGTTGGTTTCTGGTTAAAGTTTTTTTTTTGTTTTTTTTTAAGCAGTTATTAGTGCAACTCAGACTATTTCTATGTTTTTTTCCTCTGGTATCAGGGCAAAATCCCTCTTTCTTTCAGGTCACAATTCAGAGTTTGGGTCATTTCAAAGCTCAGTGCTTTATGAGGTGAGGATACTCGCTTTAAAATGGCCTAGTATCTTCTCAGTGTGATTTGCTTGTTTCATTTCCCTCCCTTGCTAGGTAGAAGTTAAGCTGCTCTTACATTTTAAATAAGCAGCGTAATTTATTCTCAAAATGCTTTGGGGTGCCACCACGGTGACAATAACACCGTGGCCTTCACACTATAACATTTAGATCCTGACTTGATTAAGCGGACCTTGGAGGACATAGTCTAAATATTAAGAAACTTATAGAAGTCCTTTAAGGCCCCAGAATGTAAATCTTGATTTCCTACTGCAGTTATGAAATAGTTCCAAAAAGTGTTGCCCAACCACAGCTTGTTCTGCCCTGCGTTATGGTAAACAAATGGGTCAATATTTTTTTCAGAATAGAGTGTGATTTACGCTGTGAACTTTAGAACTTTGGCATAAAGCTGAATAACCACAAAGCATTTATTTCAGGGCACAAGGTGTAACTCAGTTACAGTCTGGCAGAAACTACAAAGAAATTGGTAAAAGGGATTTTTTGCAACTTCTACAAAAAGCTAATCCACAAAAACTCAGGAACCGATTCTTGTCAATGAATCCCTCAAGTGGAGAGCTAGAAAAGAACAATTTAAGTAAGGAGTAAAAATCAACTCTTAAATTTTTGAAGGTGACTTTTTCCATTGCCACTTCCCTCTGGCTGTTATAGTAACCCTGTTTATAATTACCAGTTGATAGGGGAAATAAAAAGTTAAAATGTAAATTGATTTTGTTGTTATTAGGGCTTGAGAGAAGACAGATTGAGATTGTGTTCCTTCGCTTTTTGAGATGGCCATAACAAGAAATTTAAAAAAATTAAAGAGGGTATCTCATTGAAAAACAATTAATTGTATGGTCAAAGCAAGCACTGTCCTCTGCCGGCTCAAAATGTCAGGAATATTTTACTAATTAAACAGCTAGGGCAACTCCAAATTCTTATTCCTTTGGTCAACATTTTGGCATTTACTTGCATCCCAGGCCAAATTAGTATATGGAAACCTGGGCTCCAACTAGCCTTAAGCCTGTATTACATAGCTGTAAACAGCTCCTAGTTTTCAAGTTGTTTTGTTGGCTCCATTGTAACCTAACACAGTATCTATTTTAAGATGTCTGGTGGTCGGTTGGTCATCTTTCATCTTTCAGTTGCTCGCCCATCAGGCAGGAACAGGATCCACCCTAGACATTTGAGTCATTTCCTTTCACCAAATCATAATAGTAAACATCATTATAGTTTTTACCCACAAATATGGCATCTTCGCTCGCATGAGGTCCCCGCACTTTTACCTCCTAGAGTTCTGTATTACTCACCTTCCCTTCCTCCCCTGCACAGTTCTGCTCTCTTTACCTCACTCATCTTACTTATCTTCTCTAGTATCATTCTTCACCTCCATTTCTAAAGGGAATATTTTTTCTTATGTTCTTGGCTATTTTTTCCTGTCACTACGTGTCCAGACCACTGGTCCCCAAACCTTTTCAGTCATGTGTCCCTCTGAGTAAAATGTTTTGGAACATGCATCTTTGTGATTTATATAAAATAAATTACATCCATGAACTAATATGTGTATTATATATGTCTGTATATTACATGTATATAATAACTATAAGCATCAGCTACATTATATACATGAAGTAGTATGTACCTTATAAACAGGCACAGAATAGAAGGAAGGATAAAAATAAATGGAAATGGAAATTCTAATATTTTCTATTTTCTTGTTAACATTCTTAAAGAATCGTTGAGGGTCACTGGTTTGGAATTCAGCCTTTCACTTCAGCACCAATTGTACATAAGCATACACTTTGAAAAGGTGTTCATTTTTAACAGCTCTGGTCTGATTATAGTAGTTATAATGCGATAACAAATTTAGAATAGAAACCATCTCTACTTGTACATGTGATTAAAGCTGGGTGTGTTCCATCTCTTAATACAAGTGCGGGCTGGGAAGCCAGTCATGGCTGTTTGATGCTTCCATGCAGACTTGGCTGGGCAAACTTCAAACAATTATCAGAACTTAGCTTCACTTTAAGGTCTTTGTATTATTGAAACATTGTTATAATTTACCCCTGTAGGTGGCATGTGGTAAAAAAACGGTACAGAATATGTAAGGACTCTCAAATGAAAGACATATTTAAATGCCAAATAATAGCAGTAATTGTATGATCCTGGAAATGTAGCTCTGCACAGAGCATGATTTGTGGTTTGTAAAACACTATTTTAAACCAGTGGAAACTGAAATTTTCTATTATAGCTGTTTTCGGTATGTTTATTTTCTCAGATAATTTTCATGTACTTTTTTTCTGATAAATACTATGTATCTATTATTAAAAACTTGTAACATAAAGAAAAAGATGAAGAAGAACATAGTTACTTATTCCCTCATAACCCAGAGATAACTGCAGTTCACTTTTTAGTGTATTTTCTTTAGTTTTTTCCTATTTATAGTTTAAATATTTCTTTTAAATGTGATGGTCTGAATGTATAAACAATTTCATATCTTTCCTCAATCAATACTACATTGTCAGCATTCTTCCGTATGTTATAAATTCTTCACATTTATAATTTTAATGGCCACATGATATACCATCCTCTAGATATACTAGAATTATTTAACAATTTTCATATTGCTAGGTATTTGAATTTGGGAAAATTGGAAGCAGTTACAAGTAACATTTCCATGGATACCTATGTACTTAAGGGTTTGTCTTCATTTCTGATCATTTTCTCAGGATAAATTCTTAGGGAATCGCCAGGTCTTTTGAAGGGCTTTTAATAACTATTGCCAAATTATCTTCCAGAATGGTTGTAAAAGTAAAGCTGACTGTTAACGTGGGATAGTATATGTAGATCACTTGGCGTATAGTGGACTTTACTTAATTAATGGTAGATACTGTTATGTAGTATATGTAGATAGTATATGTAGATCACTTGGCGTATAGTGGACTTTACTTAATTAATGGTAGATACTGTTATGTGGTATATGTAGATAGTATATGTAGATCACTTGGCGTATAGTGGACTTTACTTAATTAATGGTAGATACTGTTATGAAGCCATTCAGATGTGATTCCAAAGGTTTTGTGGCCAGTTTATGGTCCTTAATGCTAGAAGTAATGTTATGATTTCTGTTGATTGAAGGTATTCCTTCAGAGACCAGAAAGCATTTGACATCATGCTTAAACGTGTTGGAGTCGTATAGTTTGTTTTTATATGTTGATTAATGCCAGAATTTAATCTCTGGGGTGCCTCCTCTGGAATGAGTACTATCAGTTGTGCCACTTGTGCAGATTAAGACCCGTAACTGTACAAATGTTCCTGCTGTATGTTTTTATAACTGTCAAAACAAAAATTTTAAACTTTGTAGCCTTTGAGTTGGGTATGATGAATGGTGCAAAGCATCAGCAATGCCATTACCAGAACTCATTTTGTTTTGACTGGTAGAAATTTGAAACCATTGGTGTGATAAATACATTGAGTTGGAAAATTGTTGGGATTTATTCTGAGCTGTAAAATAATTGTCTTCCTTAGACTCTTCAGCCTCTTTTAACAAAAAGAAATGATAATTTCATCTAAGCTTTTTATTTCATTATGTCCTGGGATTAAAGTGGAATATACCTGCTGCTTTGGCATTGTGAAGAATGTTTGCTCCTCACCCACAATCTCTAGTCCAGTATTTTTAGGAAGTTGGGGCAGATAGCATTGTTATATATTTCATATACATGTTTGACGTCATTTACCTGGATCTTACATTTTTATTGTTAGATCAGGCTGTCCTCCTTTTAAAAAAAGTTGTATAGTCTTCTGAGGAAAGACTGTGCTAACTGAGCAGTGGAGTGGGGTCTGCCATCTGTAAAGTAGAAGCCCAGAGAGTGAGAGGTGGTAGCGTTTCTTTCTTCGTGTTCGGGGCAGGGGATGCATTGAGCAATGAATGGGTGGTGTTTTGATCCCCCCGGTGAGTATAGGCCCACAGTGGTGATGGATGGCTTAATAGCTCTTGTTAAGGTCGCCTATCTGATTCACTAGGCCACTTTGGACTTCTGTTTGGGAGAGTTGTATGTGGTACTGGGGAAGAGTATGGGCTTTAAAGTCAGGCAGATGTGGTTCTGCTCCCAGTTCTCTTATTAGCTATGTAGCCTCAGGTCACTTAACTCTTTCTGTTTCCCTGTCCATAAAATGGGACAAATAATGCCTACCTCATAAGATGATTATGAGACCTAAATGAGAGGATATGAGGATTAAGTGGGAGACTGAGGACCTAGTATGATGCTGGCACTTCACAGACGCTCACTCGGTGGTAGCTGTTTACTATTAAGCCTTTCCATGTAGCATTTCCAGTTTGAAGAGAATTCAGCGATCTTGCGAATAGCAGCATTCTGATTCTCCTAGGTTTGTTTGCTTGTTGTAGATAAATAAACGTTGTCTTATGAGTACAGTTAGAATATATCGACTAATTGTGTATCTCTAAATATACTAATTGTTGAATTTATGAACCGGAGAAATTAAGGAATAGGCCTTAGACAACTGGTACGTTCATTGTGACGGCTTCACAATGTTGACGCCACCTTGTGAGAGCTGCCTGCCTGGCATTTCTATGGACGTGCCTGTTCTTTCTTGCTACACCTCAACAACCTGTGACACTTGTCACTTAGGACTTATAGTGGTTTTTCCAAGCAATCCCACAAGTTGTAAAATGACTCTCAGGTTGCATTCAAACAATTCTGGTGTACTTTTACTGTGAGATATATAACTTACATAAGGGAGTGTGAATGGGTTGATAGAGTAGCAGTCTGTCGTGACGTGTTTTAACTTTGCAGGTGAGGGGAAGAACTAACAATATTTTTTCAAATCATGTATATAATTTATAGAATATAATTGGATTTACAGATTCTGTAATTCAATTTTTTTCTCATCCCCATAAGTTTTTTATTTTAAAAGGAACTAAATTCTGTTTTCTCTTAGTTCAGTTCCTTATTTCAATGTAAATTCTGAAAGCAGATATGACCGACCTTTTTTTCTTTTTTTCCAGTTTAAATTCTGTATTTTTCAGTTTCTGTGTCAGGCAGTCTTAACTATGAGAGCTGTGAGGACATGCAAGGAAACATTGTGAAATGGTAGTGTAGCAGAAAGACCTGGAAGGGACAGCTGTAATGATTATCTGGCCCCAAGTGCTTGCTTGCTTGACAAATGGGAAACGTGAAGCCTGGACCAGCTGAGTGATGGGGCGGGGCCCCTGTCAGAGCCAGGACGGAACTCGGGTTCCTCAGTTCGCATGTGGCCTGGTGAAAAGTGAATCGTGAGGAAGAAGAACTTTTCAAAGGTGGAGTTTATTCTGAATGCCCCTCTGGAGTGTGCAATGGTGCAGGGTGGCTTTATATTCCTTCGTGGTAAAATTACAGCGTGCCCTTTGTGTGTTCCTGTTCTTCCCACGGCACATCGCTTCATCTGTTTTTATGTGCTCAGGCTTTCTTTGGTGTTTGATTGCACATCATAAAAATATTTTACTAGTAGTACACCCCTGTTCCTTTTTCCCATATGTGTTTAATTGTTCTTTTCTACATGTCTTCCACTCATACACATGAGTGATAAAAATACGGTGATAAAAACACGAGTGATAGAAAAGAAGGAAGGATGCGGGAAGGGCGGAGTCTGGGAACCTTTTAGACTTGCCGGTGTGCAAGATTGTTTGAAAATGGACACATTGGGATATAATGTACCGTGTGATAACTAAAGTTAAAAATACTGTATCATATATTTGAAAGTTACTACCATAGTAAATCCGAAATATTTTTAAGATTTAAGATTTAAAAATATTTTGTAACTGAATGAGGTGATGGATGTTAACGATACTTGTGATAATTTTGCAGTATGTACATATGTGAAACCATCATGCTGTGTACCTGAAACTAGTAGTGTTTATATGTCAGCTCTGTCTCACAAAACGGGGTCGAGGGGTGTAGACACATTACCTAATAGTATTAGCAGACCCAGAATAAACCATTCCCACTGCCCTCCCTGCTCAAAATTGAATCTAAAATTATATCCACGACGTCCATAGATTCATCTGTCCTTTAATTCAACAAATAGTAGGGCATTATTTATCTAACAGGTCCTATTCTAGGCACTTGATATGGCAAGTAAAACGAAGTCCTCGTCCTCGAGTAGCTTACATTTTAGTGGGGCAGAAAGACAGTAAAGAAATAAATATATAATACGTGAGGTGAGGGTGGTTAGAGGAGGTTTCCGAAGAGGTGATGTGTGATCAGAGACCTAAAATGACTGGAGAAAGAACATTCCTCAAATAGAAGAGCAAGTGAGAAACAGCAGCCGTGGTATAAGATCAGGTCAGAGGAAGAGCTGGGACCCAGTCCTCTGAGCCTCGGGGATGGGAAGGACGCGGCTTTTCTGTTAGGTGTGATGGGAAACCATTGGAGTG